TGATATCACATAGAGTAAAAATTCTATTTCCATTAAGATGCACCAGATTTCAAGTCATTTGGATGAGAACTTTTTGAGTTATCTTTCCCGCCAATTTGGAAAACACCGTTTTGAGAAAAACGCGTTTAAAGTTTTGGGTTGTGTAAAAACATGATTTCTGGAACTTACGGTTAATCGGTGATACCGGGGCCATAGATCACTCCTTCCTCGTGCTCGTAGAACTTAAAAAAAAGTTACTTGATTTTCTCCCCTTAATGGAGGACAAGTTTTCGAAAAATGTATACAATTTAATTACGATGTAATATTTTTCTAGCAAAATACAGATTGAAAGCTATAGTTTGACGTATAAAACAAGTACCGTAAAACGGGGTATCTTTGATAATGCGGGTAACTTTGATAGTATAATATAAAGATGAAATTTACTCGCTGCACTTTTTCCAAATTAGAAAAATTGGTTCCATATTGTAGCTTAGGGTATTTCCGTTGATATCTTATATAGTTTTTATATAGTATGTGTAACATATTTTACAAACATATTTTAAAAAACTATCAATGTTACCCCGTTTTACGGTACGTACATCGTTTATTACATTTTTAACAAATAAATTGTCTAAGTTCCTCCACTACTGGGTCACCCACCCTACTCCGAATTCATTTCACTATTGGACGGCGAAGCGAACGGTAGTCGCTTGGCAAAGCAGCACAGCAGCTCAGGGGTCGAGGTTTCCCCATCCAGCGATCGTATAGAAGGCGGTGACCTTCGACTTTTTGGCATAGCAGCAGCAGATATCCCCGCCCAAAGCGAACGGTTTTCGGATTCCACATTCGGACGGCATCCTGGCAAAGCAGCATCAGCATCATTGGGGTCACACACATTCTGTGACAATACGAAGAACGGATCGCTATGGAACATGGTGTTCGTCAGAGCACACGGCTACACAACCAAAAATCACGACATAAAGTTCATTTGTATTCACTTTCATTGAGCAGTACAAAGCCAATAGAGTTTTAAAAGGCAGTTTTAGTATGTACCAGTTCTTTTCAATCCAAAAATATTCAAAAAGATTGCATGATAGGAAAAAAGTTGTAATTTTCAAGAAAAAATTAAATCTTAAACTAAACCAATTTTAATTTTGCAACGCAGTAAAGAATATCAATCATTGTTATAAAAAAATCAAATTACTTCAAATAAAGCCAGAGAACAGAGAGAAGGAAAAAGTTCACTCAGTTGAATATGAAGCCTAGTTACGCTGGCTCAAAGCTGACTATATTTTGCCAACATGTTATGCCAGATTATTTTTTTTTTGCATTAATAAAAAAAAACTTTAGTTGTATTTAAACAAACAATTCCGGATGAAATTATACTGCATTTTTTTTTTCGATAATATTTATTCATATAAATTCAAACAAAGATTCGTTTTGTTTTAATAAGCCACTTTTCAATTGCAACTATTGTAAAAATAACAATATTCTTTTATTAAGCCAACAATAGTTAGTTTTAATTAAGCATTTGTTGTGTCCTTTCCCCGGGCGTAACGCTTGAATGCAAAAATAACTACCAACCATTCCCTCGTTTTCACCCGGAAAAAATGTAAACAATAACACAAAACTGTTCTCGTTTAAATTCAGCTCTTTCCCGCGTTTCACGTAAATATTGTTTTAAGCTGTGAATTTCGGGTAATAAGGGCAAGATTTCCGAAAATATTGAGACTTGAGGTAAGTAAGTATGCTGCAGTTGCTAAATATAAACAGTTTGTCTTTTTGACGTAGGATTACGTCTTCTGGCAACATATTGGGGGTGCAATTTCAAAATACCAAAATCGACCGCATTGCGAAAAGAGGTCAGGTTTTGACCACATATAACTCTGTCAATAGCAGATGGATTTAAATTCTAAACAAGCCAATCGATTAGATAGCTAAATTTCGAATCTTCTAAATTTAACACTACATTAATTTTCAATAGTTCATTACTGAAAATTACACAAATGTCCAACTATTACAATAGTATTAAAATTATCACCGATTGCCTGCAAACAGTGCAGCACAGATTTCAAAATCGAATTCAATAATGTCTCCCTGAACGTTGCTTATTCAATCACCGTGTGTGGTGGTGTCCAGTCGGTGTCAGCAGCAGCAGTACTTTCGGCGCTTACCGTTGAATATTTACACAACGAAAGGCTGCCCGCAAGCAGCGAGCTGCAACATGAGCGTCCATTCACCGACCATCTATCAGGCTCAATCGAATAAATTTTACAGAGCCGAGTTATTATTTTCGTAATATATTATTAATGTCTTATATTTAAAGTTAAAGGAGCTGGACCGAATACACGCGGTTGTCTCGAGGTTAGTGGAGATTTACAATATTTTGGATGGAAAAATGTTTAAACTAACATACCATATATTTTTAAGGCACCCAATGTTGCAATTTCAGAACCAAAAGTCGGTCGCGGCATGAAAGTGGTCTGATTTTGATCCAGAGATGATGGATTTTAATTCAGAATACGCAAATCGATAGGAAATTTTTCTACGAATCTGTTAAAATTAAGGATTTATGATTTTTCAAAATGTCACTATTGAAAATTGTACAAATGTGCAAGTGTTGCTATGATCATAAAATGGTCACCGATTGCCAGCGAAAAGCGCTTCCCTTAACACAGATTTCAAATTTGCATTCCATCCGGTCTCAACGAACGCTGTTCATTCAATCACTCCAATACACAACGAAAGGCTACCCGCAAGCAGCTAGCTATCAAGGCTGCCCTCAACCGCTGATCGGATTCAGTTGCTCGCCCTGAGCCGCTGTGGGCCATCTATGCCGAGTGCGCCACCCTCGTTCCAAATAACATACAGCTCGTCAGCAGGTGTTGTACATCCTAATAGCTCAGCATTATTCAACCATCACGACAAAACGGTTCTTTTCAGGACCACCATAAATTATTGTTGTTTAAGAGTAAATTTTCATTGACCGTTCGCTCGCCTTGCTGCCAGCCACATCACCCCCAAAGCTCTTTGATAACCAAACCAAAGTATTGAAGTGGTACATGGTACATAACAATTCTCGCATTGATTCCAAGCACTGAGCATGCCAGACCGTACCTATCTTTATGCATTTTGTAGCAAAATTAAAGCACCCTATTACGGGAATAATGTAAAAAAAAATCTTGCAGAATTCTCTTAATAGAAGAGGCTTAAAATATGTATAAAATAGCATAAACGTAGGTACCGTCCGGTAGGTTCAGATTCTGTGATTGATGTGTTTTCCTTAATACATATTTCATTTCCGGACATCGGATAAATTTCCACAGCATTGTTTTAAACCGGTTTCCAAGCTTCCAACCCATCGATCCTTTCAGGACTACAAATGACTGATAAAGGAGTTAACTAAAGACTAAGAGTTTGTATCCAAGATATACGTCCAGGATAGGCTTGTACTACATGGACATCGACAGAGCACCTCACAAACAGAACTCTCAAATAGCTTCCTAATTTCAACCTATCGAACATTTTCTCTGATAACGAGTTAAGGAATCAATTTAATGTATACTATACTTTTGCTGTGACATCAAAACTGCCTTTCGTAATCCTACACGGGAACAAATCCAATCACCAAAACGAGAAAAATTACTCTTGATTTCATGAACATAGCGTGTTTTCATGTTATGAAAATACACCATGAATAATATTCATGATATCATGCGCTATTTTTGCGTAACGCAGTCAAGATTCCAAAAATCATGAATCATCCTAGTTGAAACCATGAACTAAATTCTATCAGTTTTTAAAGCCAAAACATGTAAAACAAAATAAAGTAAAACGTCAGACTGGATTCGAACCAAGAACATTGGGATCATTAAACCCATACTTTAACCACTAGACTTTCAGAACTTGTATAAGGATGAAGGCAAAAGGCGTATAAGAGCTACCTATATAGTGCATTTTATGAATACGGTTTGCCAGGTACGTGTAACGCTTGTAGCGGTCATGATTCCGCTGTATTATGAAATCATGAATTTCCATCATAAAATTGTAGATCATTGCTATGATTTCATGGCGTGGAACGTTTTTTCATTTCATGAAAATGGAATCGGATTTCTTCCCGTGTACATCAAATCTACGGGCATGTTCTGGATACAACATCTTACTTTTTTTTCTTTGATTTGTTTTTCCGTCGATCTTGTTTTCCGTGCTGAGCACCAATGCTACCGACGCCAGGGAGGTAGCTTTCACACCTGAAACCTACCTATCCGCCCATCAACTCATGAATCGAGGACCAACGGCTTTACTTCCCTTCCGAAGGAATGCGTGATCAGAGATTTTATGCCTCAGGAATGTTTTATAAATTCAATTGAAATTCTGTTTGTTACAAAACGAAAACAAAACATAAAAATAATCGCAAATAAGTATGATTGAATCAACAAAAAATCTCTTTTAAAAACAGAATTTTTTTTTTTACCGAGCTGCCAAATTTGACAGCTTACGACAAAACCATGAAAGCTCTTGTAAATTCTAGAAGGTTTTCTTTTTGATTTAACAATCCATGGATTGGAGAAGCAAAAATACTGGATTGTTGAAACAATAATGATTTCTTTTTGCAGCCAAACAAAATGGAATTCTTATTGATTTTACGTCAAATATTATTACGTTTAAAATATTTTTTTTTTCTGCGTGTGCGAGATAAGCATGCTTGTTTCAGATAGACCTGCTGCCTTATATTTTGAAACGATTTTTTCCACGACCAATTTTCAGTAATTACATACTTTATGCCAACGATTATACCCTTTCTTTGTACGTAGATAAATGTACGTAGAATAATTAATGGAATTTGCTTCAAATCTTAGTACTAGCGGTGCATACACCCTAAAACATAATATAAAAATTGGTGTATCTCTACTTCTACACATCAAACAGAAATGTAGGTATATTTATTTGTTGTGCAAGAGCGACAATATCTATTGATTTTATGACTTGCCAGAAGGTGGAGCTGCGCATGCTTAAACATTATGTCGTGTGTCAGTGTTCTTAGATCTTCATGTTTTGTCAACCATTACAGCGTGTGCTGCTTATTTACAGTCCAAGGTAAGTTTAAATTTACGTTTTAATAGAAAACTTTCATTCTAATTTATTAAGGAAGTGATTGTGGTGGTGCAGTGGTACAAATAATAACGCATGTAAATGCAGACTGTTCAAAAGCATTATTGTTCATTTGTTTAGTACTTTTTCAAAGGGTGGGGCAGAATACTAATACTAAAAGGGGTTCAAAATACTCATCAATTAAGTTTGAATTGTCTTACCGGAGTAAAAAAATATTTGTGCTACTAAATCTCGTGTCTTGTTGTGTCTACCTTCAGAAAATTTGGCTACTTAGCAAAGGATATCAATGCTTCATAATAAAAATAATTATTTGCAAATCACTGCTAGAATGAATCTCGATATAGCAGATTATCCAATATTTAGGGAAATAAGTAGAAAAAAGTCGTTCTAACCTTCATAGTTTGAAAGTTTGACCGCTAAAAAAATGAGTAGATAAAATGCGATCTGTCAATATCAGTTGTTCTCGAGGGTGGTGGGAGAGGTGCAAAAACAAATCGGCATCTTACCAATGAATGTTGTTGTTTTGATGATAACACGTGCTATCACCATGGCTGCCAGATTATTTGCTTCCTAAATTTTGCTACAATCAGACGTTTACTGATTAAAAAATATAATCAAGATTATACTAAAATTGCTGTGCCACTGACAAATATCAAAAAATTAAATAAAGTAATTTAACACTCATCTAATTGACCACACTGAGCTATTAAAATACGAATTGCATGTTAGCAAAAATGTAAATAAAACTGAGTGTATTCTACTTTATAACTTACAACCCCAAAAAAATAAACATCTCAACTGATGAAAAAAAATAAGGCAATACGTTTCATAATAAGCGTAAAGGCAACATTAATCTGCTTAGTTTTTCTTTAATTTCAGGCGCACCACATGTAAATTTTGTGTCGAAAAATGGATTACAAGCTAGTTTTACTGCTTTCCTTGTTGAGTTTGGAAGTATCCTCACAAAAAGCAGGTGGAGACTATCCTTCGTTCTTCAATATAGGAGGTGTCTTAAGCAACAACGACAGTGAGACTCATTTTTCAATGGTTATTGCGGTAATGATAAAAAAAAAGTTGTTCATAATCAGAATTTTAATTTAAAAAATTATCAATTTTCAGCATCTCAACTTTGATCAAACATTTGTACCCAGAGGTGTCACCTATTACGATAAAACAATCCGCATTGATAAAAATCCGATCAAAACAGCTTTGGATGTTTGCAAGCATTTAATTTCACGAAGGGTAAGTATTTTTTGTTAAGCAAAGAAACTACTACATACTTTGTACCAGTGTTAAAAATGCCCGAAAATGTTTTTAAACGCTTTTGCATCGCTCAAAAGTTCTCTGGTGAGTGTGACTTTCGTCGGCTATCTATTTTTATTCGGCAACCTTTCCATTTGTGTGTTGTACAACTGAGCTATTATCGGCAACTCGAAACCATTAGCATATTGAAGTGCGTAAGTTTCATTATAAGAAAAATCCAGGTGTTAGAATGCGTTTGCTTAGTCGTAAGATTAAGGCTAAAATACTAAGAAATCATTTGAGAAAATCCAGTAAGATTAATGTTACAATTTTTGTTGTCGATAAAAGTCACTGCCTGTCGAAGCCGTCATTTACGCTAACAAATTTTATATTTTCCTTGCTTTGCTTAAATAACAACAAATTTTCAAAAACAAAATTATGATTTTTTTTTCTCATAAAAAATTAAATTTATGCACGTAAATCTTCATGAAGAGCATTTTGAGTGAGGTGTGCTATTTTTTAAGTTTCATTGAAAATCCTCAAATATTTTGGCGCTTCCAACTTAATTTTGAATTCCAATATAATTTTTAGGGTTATTAGGGTTGTTTTCTCATGAAACATTAGGGCAACTTTGTTTTTTAAGGCAAGATTAACGTTTATTTAGAAATCTTTGTGAGCATTTTTTCCGTTTGTAGGTTCCTTTTTATGTGTGTAAGGTTTTGATTTGTGTAAAGTAGAAAACTTGTTTTCGATAAAATGCAAAATTCACACTGTCGTGGTGCAAACATGAGGTATTGAATATCAATTAACTAACATTAGGTAGAAATCTCTGCTGGAATAAACATATTGACAAAGAAAAAGCAACAAATGCTTTTTGGTTCTGTAAAATAACATTTCGATAAAAATGGGGTCTGAAGCCAACTATGGTATACAAGATATACTCGGCTATAGTTAAACCCAGAAGCATCTATGGGTCACTTATCTGGTGGCCAAAAACCAAACAGAAAATGGCTCAAGTCAAACTGAACAAGCTACAAAGGCTTGCTACCATTCGCGCAACTGGATCAATGCGTAGCACTACTACTAGCAATTTTGAGTAGGACTTTGTCTGTGATTTCTATATGGGGTAACACTTTGTGAAAACCGAAAATGGAACATGCAACAAAATTATGAAAATTTTTGAACGTTAATAACTCAGCTGCACCTAAACCAATATCAATAATTTTATCACCAATCGATCAGAAATATTTCTACGCATCTGCTAAATTTAAGACTTTATCATTTTTCAAAACGTCACTATTGAAAATTGCACGAATATGCAACTGATGACTATGATAATTAAGATTTCAAAGTTGAATTCTATCCGGTCTCACCAAACGGTGGTTAGACTGGCCCACAAAAATAAAAATTCTTATTTTCCACGGGCCAACCTCTAGATTTGTGCCTTTAGCTGAGAAAACCATTATCTGAAAGTTTTAGCTCATTTGGTTGAAGGATGAGATAACGCTTTTAGTTTGAATTTTGTATGGGGATTTTGGTTAAAATACATGAAAAAATGACACTCCTACACTCTATCGATCGTAAAAAAGTTTCTTTATTCTCGATTTGATTCAGAGTTTATAAAACTTGTAGTTTAGTTAATCGTTAACAACTTTGCTGAAAATTGGATCATGAATCCAGTTAGTTTTATTGGAATATTCGCTTTTGAATGTATATGAGCATTTTGTATATGAAAATTTCAACCAAATCCCTTATATAAACATTAAACCAAAAGCACCAGTCCGTGTTACGCCAAAAACTGCTGAAACATTCAGTGAGTGGTTATCTCACCTACTGACACGAGTCTGTATTTTGGCCTGTGGAAAATTGTTGTTTATTGATTTATTTGATAAGACTCAAACGAATTAACTTTACAGAGCCGAGGATTCTTGGTCACTATACAGTACATCTTAAAACTATAGTCAAAAGGTACAACGAAAACATCTTAGTCCTTGTTACTTTTTATGCCCTTTTAATAGTGATAAGTACTCGGGTTCTTATTTGATTTTGAAAAGGAAAAAAAAAAGTTAGTTTTAACTATGTGATTCCTAATCTTCTATTCGTGGTTCCCTAGTTTGCAAAGGTTAAGTCTAAGGTTCTGTAGTATGGTCATTATCGTTGTCATTGCTTAGTTTTGTTGCTAAGGATCCAATTTGGACTGATAAAGTTGCGCACCCCGCGCTATTGATTTTGTGTGTGCCACAGTGAGCTGTGGCGGTAAAATTTCATTTTATGTTAGCTTCCTCTGTATATTAGACTGGCCCACATTTATATGGGGGAAATTTTTTATATTTTTTTTCAACGCCCCAACCCCTAGATTTGTGTCATTCGGTCAAAAAACCACTCTCTAAAAATTTCAGCTCATTCGGATGTAACACGAGCTGGCGGTTTGCTCACCTAAAGGCACAAGTCTAGAGGTTGTCCCGTGGAAAATTAGAACTTTTATTTTTGTTGGCCAGTCTACTGTATATGTCTGCTGCTTATAGTGTTCGCGTTTGATTTGGCTTGGTAAAATGGATGTGTGTAAGGTCTGCAAGGAGTCTATTACTATTAGTGGGCATCCAGTTACATGTGTAGGTCCGTGTAATGGAACGCAAATAGCAGAGAGTGCAAATGTTTGTTTCAAGTGTATTTATTGTCTGTCAGATCAAATTTGTGACGAGCAGAACGTTTCGGTTTTCAAACATATTGACAACTTTTACATATTTATTGCGATATCTTAATTTTGACTTTTTAAGTAGTCAATGTAGAGATCGGAGGAATACTGATCGCTCATGCCCACTATTTTCACGCTTCACTTACAACAAGTTTAGTGTTGTGATTGAAGTTGATGTAGATACGTATAAATATTTGTTATGTGCGAAAAAGGTAAATGTAGGGTTTTATCGGCACTCGATAGTTCCCGCGATCAATGTGTTGAGATGCTTCAAATGTGGAGAATTTGGGCACAAGAGCATGGATTGCAAAAATTGTGATAGATGCTCTAGGTGCAGCCAACAACACAAAACTTCGGAGTGTACGTTAACTGTATTGAAATGTATTAATTGTTTGAAAATGAATAAATAACGTGAAATGTACTATATCGATGGTAACTGGTCTTTGGCATTACAGTTGTACGTGGCATGTATACGGGTAATTATGGTGTTTTATATCATTCTCCCAGTTGTACTGACCAGCGTTTTGTTGAAGTTTTAGAAATCTGGCTCGAGACATTTCTTGACACTAGTAAAGCAAATATATTATTTGTTTATTTGTTTATTGAAAAATTTACCTGCAAATTATTGTCTAAATGAATAAAACTTAAACTAAATAGTTACGCTCAACGGTACGGAAAAGGCCAAGTAGCCGATGACGAATATGATACATTGAAGTCGAACATATAAGAGAAGTTGTTGAATTGCCGGCTGATTGCTCACCCTTAATGGTTCGATTCCCAGGAGACGGCAACGCTCCTCGTAAGTGGCAAGTTCGTTGGGTCACGCCAATTGAGGAAACTAAGAGCATATCTCACAATCTTGCGTTGAACGGATTCAATTCTAGTGCTCCAGCTAGCAAACCAAACAACTAAACTTGACTCCAATTAGGATCGCACAAGTGGGCAGTAAAGTGACCTGACGCATAGCGGGTCACGGAACTCGTCGGCAATTTTGAAAATAGAGCCCAATTGTCGATTAGCTCTGGAGATGATGTCATTGTAGTGGATTCTGAAAGTGAGTCTGCAGTCCAAGGTAACGCCGAGATCCTTTATGTGCTCTACACGAGCAAGACAGCGTCCATAGAGAACATAGTCAAACATGATTGGTTACATTTTTCGTTGCTTAGACGCATCAAATTTCTTGAGCACCAGTCAGCAAAAATACCTAACATATTCTGGAGATCCCAACAGTCCGAGAGACTTTTAATAATTTGGTTGATTTTTGCATCGTCTGCATACAAAACACGGCATCCGGAAGGTATCAGAAAGGCGACGTCGTTTAAAAATATCGAAAACAGTAGCGGTCCTAGGTTACTGCCTTGCGGAACTCCCGAGTTGAAAACATCCAATTCCGACGCGCTAATTTTAACCCGTACATAGCGATTCACAAAGTAAGACCGGAACCAATCCACAGCCGATGATGGAGCGCAAAGTATCTCCAGCATGGCCAGCAAGATATTATGGTCCACCGTGCCAACTGCAGCTTTTAGGTAGATCTAAATAAGCAGCATCGACTTGCCATCCTGAATCCAAGCAAACAGTTAGTTTCGTGGACACGGAGCGCTTCGGGTTAAAGCCGTGTTGTTCTGTATTTATATATTTTTGGAGCACACGAACAGAGCATCATTTATGATAATTTCGAACTGTTTTGAGCAGGCACACAGGGAGGTGATTCCACGATAATTTGCGACATTCTGATTATCTCCTTTTTTGTAGACTGGGAACAGATAAGAAAGTTTCCAGCGGCAGGGAAACTCACATTGCTGTGCCGAGAGATTGAATAGCCTGGAAGGCAGAGATTGGCTACACAACGTTTAAGAACTGATGAAGGAAAGCCGTCAGGTCCGGCGGAGAATGAGAACTTCAGTTTTCGTAGTTGGTTGGAAATGCTAACATGAAGCATTAGTGTGATAATTTATTAGCTAGAGAATAATCTTTAGAAGAGAGTAGGTGGATAGTTCCGTTAGAGTACGGCAGTATGAGAATTGAATAGAAGTTGAAAATGAGCGAAGGGCCATTAATGCGACAGTTTTTAAAGTTAGACGCACATCTTTTACCTAATCCGTACGATGTACGCGGAGACTTGAAGTATGTTTTTAAAGTTAGACGCACAATCGCTAACTTCGCGTATGAAGTAACATAAAAACACTTTGAATGTAACAACTCAAGGCGGGAGTTGGTACAGCACGCAACAACCACCCTACTGCTTTCTCTCTGAGATGATCACGTTGGTCATGACGAGAGGAGCAACACAATAGTTGGGTAA